TCCTGGAGCACTTAAATCATTTCATTCAGTCTGCAGATAGCGCGTCAGGAGCTCCGAGTCCCTGTTAGGCACGTGGGAGCTTAAGTCGGAAAGAACAGGAAAAACCTACCTTCTCCTCCTGCCTTGTTTCCAGCTTGAGTGTTAGCTAGAGGCATGGCTTGGGTAGGTGGCATCTCTAGTTCTTTTCCTGAAGGATTCTAAAGTTCCTTCAAGTTTCTGAGTATTTAGGGGGTGGTGCTATTCATTTGAAAAGTATGGCTGCATTCTAGTACCAGGAACTCTTGATGGTGGGGGAAGGCAGAGAAAAACAGATTAGATGGCAGTCCCTATCCTTGTGGGACCTTATCTCAGCGGTATGTAAACGATACCCAGAGGGAGGCAGGAAAGTGACGTTGAGGCGGGAGGCGAAAGGGCTGCTGAGGGAGCACAGTGCCTTTTAGTGTGTGGTCAGGGAGATCCTTATTCTAGAACTTGACCGCTCAGCAAGGAGCTGAGGGAATGAACCGCAAGGATACCCGGGTAAAGAACAATCACAAAGGCCCAAATGCCAAAGTGACCCTGTTTTTAAGGAGTAGGAACCAAGCTAGGTTGTGGTGGGGTCGGTGCAACCCAGACAAGGGCAGTCTTCCTTGTCTATGTGTGGGTTTAGCCTCAACTCCCTCTCGGAGGCTGAGAGCTCCCTTTTCTTCTAAGCCACTGCATCTGCTCTCCATGAGAGTGGCTGTTCAGGTTGGGGAACTGAACTGACAATGTCTGTTCTCTCAAATCTCTGTCAGTTGGAGTTTTAGTTTCATGACAGCTAACCCGTGTTCTGGTCATGTGTCTTTAGGGGCGTTTTCTGGATTTTATCCCTCTTATATCCGCATATGTCCCCAACCCCTTGTATCTCCTTGGCCCATTTCACCACCACCCTCTCCATAGTTATGGTGTCTTTGCCCAATTCCCCCTTTCCTTTCCTCCTGTTCCTCCTTCCCCTTTTTTTTTTTTTTTTTTTTTTTTTTTTTTTTTGGAGGGGGTTAGTGTCTCCTGTAGCCCTGACTCTGCTCAAACTCACTATGCATCTGAGGTTGACCTTGCACAAGCATGAGCCATCACACCTGATTTCAGGGTGCTGGGGATCAAACTCGCCAAGCTACTTTCTAGCTCCCTTGTGGGTCTTTTTAGTACTTAAGAGCCAATCTATGGCTTTAAGTGTGCACTCAAATCATTCTACCACAGTAGACATGCCTGGTCCTTTACAAGTGCTATTAGTATTTAAAAAGCTGGAAGCAGCACTAGCTAAGTTACTCAGATTTGCCTTCAGTTCGTTCTGCACTCAGACAGGCCTCCCATCTTCAATCTTCCTGCCCTCAACCTTCATAGTAGCTGGGATTACAGCCTTGTGCCGCCAGAACTAGACAGTTCCAACTGTTCGTTAAGCTCCTGGATGTTCATTTGGTATCTCCCAGTACTCCTGGGTAACAGGAGAGTGCACTCTATCTCCCTAATCCCATATCAAGAGAAGCTTACTAGGATGATAATATGAGTTAAGGTGGGGGTCAGTTAGTGCTTATCTTTAATGACAGTGCCTACCTGGTGTCACATGGCCATAGTGGCTGTTAGTGCTATGTCCTGGGAACAAGAAAAGGCAGCACTGTGTATAACATAGAGCTGGCAGGGGCAGCTCTGCTGTGGTGAGGAATTTTCCCATGGCTTCAGCCTTTCGAGTAACAAACTGGTGCCTCTGCAAAGAGCCCTGAGAATGTGTAAGGTCTTTGGAGTAAGTGTTGGATCAAAACGGGAATGCCAGGGAAGCTGCTTGTGCAGCAGATCAATACCCTTTTACCTCCAATTGCAAAATCCCAAATCTCTCAAAACGTTGTTTACTGGGAAGTTGTATGGCAAGAACCTCACCTTACATGCTCTCAGGTCATCTGGCAGCAGACCCTGATAGAAAGCTATTTGTAATCTTTGTATTTTCCCTGTAGAGCGTGAGTTGTCCTATGTTTCACTGCAGAAATACTAACGCATTTGACCCATAGGGGATACCCCAGACTCTACAGGGGCTGTCATGTGATATGTGGTATGTCCCACAAGCTTGCCTTCTCTCTCTGATATTACTGTCATTCTCAGTCACCACCTCCCCACGACCTCCACCCCCAGCCTTGCTATAAAGCCCGGGTTGGCCTGGAATTTACTATGTCACCCATGCTGGTCTCAAACTCGCAGGAGTTCTCTTGCTTCAGCCTCCCAAGTTCTGAGATTATAGGTTATAGGTATGAGCCACCAGGTCTGTGGGTGTGTGTGTGTGTGTGTGTGTGTGGGTGGGTGTGGGAGAGAGAGAGAGAGAGAGAGAGAGAGAGAGAGAGAGAGACGAAGAGAGGCAGAGAAAGAACATGAACTTACACTTACTTGGAACTCTTGCTAGCCCAGGCTAGCCTGGAATTTACAATCATCTTGCCTCCATCTAGCTAAGCCTCAAGAGTGCTGGTATTACAGGCATACACCATGGTGCCTGGCTATAAGGATTTTTTTTTTAATATGAAAATTTCTAAGTTCTTGACTCAACTAGTCTTAAGCAGTTCAGGAAAATAGGAGCCACATTCAAAGGTAGGAATTTGAGGGAGGGAAGAAAGGAAGGGAAAATCAGTTTGGTAGGGAAGAATAAAGATAAAAGTAAGAAAGACAGCTACTTGTTTCTGAGCAACAGCATTTAGTTCAAATGACTAATTAATACTCACCGAGGATAGTTGTAATAGCAGATTTACAGCAGCTTCAATTATTCCTATTGCTACTTCATAATTGCAATTTTGCTACTGTTATGAATCGTAATGTAAATATCTGATCCACAGGTTGAAAACCGCTGTCTAAGAAGGTAAGGAGGAAACACTCTGTAGTTGTAAAAACTAAAACCCAGATGACAAGTAATTTGATTAAGACTGAACTAGAAGTTAGTTCCCCAGCCACCACAAGTATTTACCTGTTCTTTCTCCCCAGATGAACATCATAAACCCACCAGAGTACCTGCTACCGTCAAACCCTCTGTGTCTTTTAACGTCCGCACTTCCATGGACCCAGAGCATGAAGGGTGCAATCTCTCCCTTGGTGACAACCAACTCTTGGAAGACTGTGGCTTCAACATGACAGCCAAAACCTTTTTCATCATTCATGGATGGACGGTGAGCCCAGGAGGGGGTTCTGCAGCTTTTTATAAGATTTGATTCCTTTTGTTTTGGTCAATTAAAAAGAATAGCCGTGCTTCCAGATTCCAAGCCCTGCCCCCCCTTTCCTTGTGGGCTGCTTGTATTTCAGACAGCTGTGAAGAATGTAATGGGGGCTTCTCAGAGGGGGCAATCTGGACTCAGCAGGGTGGCATTTAGTGCTGGTGTGCAGTGGGCTTTCAGGAAATGCTTCTCCCAAGGCCAGCAGCCCAATTCCCTTAGCTCTGAAGGAGCTCTAATTATACTTAATTACATTGGCCAACCACTGCCTGGAGGGGGCCCATCCTGCTCCAAGAGCAGGAGCTGAACTGAAGCAACTTAACTGGCTCAGAGAATCTGCGGGGCCAGCTGGCCTGGCTGGCTGGCTTCTATTGGCATGCTGCCCTCCTGTTTGCATAGAGATGGCCCCGTTTAAAGGCACTGGAATTCTTTATGTGCCCTCGCAGAGCAATTTCCATTGAAAGGCCCATGACAAACTTCAACAAAAAAGGGCTTTAACACTCAGCTTCAGAAACTCTTGGCCAGCAAGGGATTTGTTCATTTATAGAATGACAGTCTGTAGGAAAATGGCACTATTAAGTGAGCAGGTTTCTGCCTGGACTAATTGGAAGGGGACGTTCCTCCTTCTAATGTTGAGAAATTCATATCCGTTACATTCTTGCTGGGTCTTCAGATCTACTGTCAACAGTTGGGGATGGGTTTGGGAGTTGGGAAGGTAGGAGTCTACCTTCCTATAGTGAACGAAGGGATGACTGGGGGCCTGTCTGTCTGTCTTCATCCCTCAGGACACAAGCGGAATCTCACATTTGAATTTCTCTAAGGTCTTCCTGTCAAAATGCAAATACTAACTGCCTGCAGCTTACCAATGGGGAGCATTCCAGAAAGTTCTTTTGTAATGTGTTTGGAACTTGGAATGGTAGTTTCCCATAGAAGCAAGTTGTAAATAGTGTTTGGGTTCCCAGGCTAAGCACAAAAAATCTATTTATTTGATAATGTACGTGTGGATAGGTTACAACTGCTTCTAGTCACCATGTGTAATGTTGTTTCTGTGGGAAAATATGTTCTGAGTTCTAATTTGGGATTCCAGGGGTGGATTCTTCTTACGCTGAGGTCAAGAGGATGGCAGAGATGGGTTGTGGGAAGGAATCATTTGTTAACTTGGTGTTTGCCTAAGTGACAGTATGTTTCTAAGGGAGGAGCTAATTCTCCAAGGCAACCTTCTCTAACTCCTTGAAGGATGAACCAGGCCACTTGCCTGACTGTGACAGGGATTCAGACTAACCTCATGCCATTATCACCACCAATACCCATGTAATGGACATTAGACAATATAGTACAGCACATCAGCTGTGAAAAATCTGATGGGAAACCAGAGATGTGAAGAGCAATGGAACAAAGAAAGCATCAAGCCTTTCTTCCTTTGGTTGTCTTGCACGTGGGCAATTCTTAATTTCTTCAGCAGCCACTGTGAAGGACCGGTCAGATGAGCAGAGGATCACGGGATTTCTGAAGTCCAGAAGGAGAATTAAAAGAAAAATAATCTTCCTGTTTTCTTTGCAGATGAGTGGCATGTTGGAAAAATGGCTGCACAAACTTGTGTCAGCCCTGCAGACAAGAGAGAAAGATGCTAATGTGGTGGTGGTTGACTGGCTGCCCCTGGCTCACCAGCTGTACATAGATGCAGTCAATAACACCAGGGTGGTGGGACAGAAAGTGGCTGGGATGCTTGACTGGTTGCAGGTAAGCAGAGATGAAAGGGAGCCATCTTTCATTAGGTTTTTCTTTCTTTCCATTTCATTTCTTAAGGTAAGCAGGACCTTAAGCCTGCAGTTTCTTAGGAAATGCAGAGCACATGTTATGAACTTCGAGGATGATAAAAATCTCTAGCATTACAATTTTTGCTAAATTAAAGCACTGCATGAACTACTTCAAAGCCTGCTTCAGAACTCTTTAATGATTGGTAGATCTCTGGATTTTTCTGTTACTTTAGTTGCTGTAAAATATTTGTCTTGCGGGAGATTAGTTTCCGACCTCAGAAGCTGATGCCCTTAGGGTTGTTGAGAATGGCCAGGAGCCAGGGATGGTTTCTATCTGAAGGAGCCACAGATGGCTTCTCTTGACTTTGGAGGGTGGTTGTGCGAATGAACGGCAAGTGCTTCAAACGGATCATCCACTGTGTTGTTTAACACAGTGTGTGCAGAACATATCTTGAGGTCTTGATGTAACTTTTTATAACTTAATCAGTAGACTTAACAGGCAGGAGGGACAAGGGTTCTACTGGCAAAGTGACCCTAGATGTTGAGCATTTCCAACCTCACTTTCCCTTGGGGATCTTATGACTCCTGGCATGATCCTGGGGGAGATCTGTGAGCTGTACTTTGCTCTGGGGTGCTAGAAAGACTGTTTTCTGAGTCAGAGGTCAAAGTCCCACCTCAGCATCTCCCCCTTCCCTAGCTGAGTACTCTGGAAGGGGACACTGTTCCAGGTGTGGGAGTGCGAGTAACTTAAGATGAGAAGTCAGATGCTTCTGGAGGGTAGAGCAGAGGTCAAAGCCTGAGAGTCCTGGCAGGGAGCAGGTCACTGCGGTCATGGTCATGGTCATGGTCATGGTCATGGTCATGTCTGGCACCTTGGTCTACTGTGGGTATGGTATCTTTGACCTCTACATTGATCCATCTATGTTCTTTGAATACTGCCCCAAAGAAAGGAAACCTTGTAGGAGAGCTTGCAGGGGAACACTCAGGCATGCCTCCTTTGGTTGTATCTTCCACAGTGCCCCCTTGGCATTTGAAGCGTCACCAAGTCCTTTAGAACTCCCTGTCCCTGGTGGGCCATCCATATTACATGCCAGCAGCACAGGTGATGCTGCAGAGAGCCTTACATCTGTGACCTCTGTGACCCTTCTATTATGGTGTACAAGTTGAATTGTTGGTGGTCCTGGAGGTCAGAACTACATCCTTTGATGACTTTTTGCAGGAGAAGGAAGACTTTTCTCTTGGGAACGTTCACTTGATTGGCTACAGCCTTGGAGCCCATGTGGCTGGATACACTGGCAACTTTGTGAAAGGAACAGTGGGCAGAATAACTGGTAAGATCTGCTTTGGCCATACGTATATATGAGTTGTGTTAGTAGTGCCCTTCCACATGAATATAGGGTTTGTGTTAGCCATGCCTTTCAGATTTTCTCCTTCCTGGGAGAAATTCAAGGTGGAAAAATCACAAGGTCACCAAGCAATAGGGAACATAGCTTGGAAATTGCTGGTCTAGTTCAAGAGGTGAGGACACAGGCAAAAGTGAGTCAGCTTGCTCAGGGGCAAATAGCTAAGAACTAAAGAGCAGAGGCCAAAAGGGAACCTTGGCTTCCAAGCTTCTGAGCATTCACTCTTAGCTCTCTCATGAGATTCCAGATGTGAGTACGAGTCTAGTTTGAATCCTGCCTCTGGTTTCTCTTTCATCAACCAATAACTTCTTTCCAATGTTAAGGGTGCATCTTTATCAGTGACAGTTACTGTTTAGAATGAGTGGTTGCATTTTGTAATTAAAGAAATTTTTCTGATATTGCTATCCAGGTACTCAACAGAAAATGGGGTTTTTCTGTATTGGAAATCACATCATAGTGAATTTTTAATGCTTGAATTTGGACCAAGTTATTTAATGATTATGAAAAATGTCAAAGATCCTTTATCCATTTTTGGGATCTTTAGGTACACAAGAGAACTTCCTCTACACTAAAATGATTGGTAAATTTGCTGCCCTGACCACCTTTCTCTTTCCAGCATTCTTTTGTAGGCATTCACCCCTAGCTCCCTTCTCATCCCTAATATACTAAGAATGATGTCTTATGCTGCTTTGGTTGCTATAACCAAATGGCACAGATTGGATGTTCTAATGCACAGGAGGCTATTTTTTTGCTTCCTGGCATCTTTTTGCTGCATGATAATGTGCAGGAGGATATCACATGATCAGACAGACCAAGCATGCTAGCTTAGGTCATTCTTTCTAATATAAAACTGGGTTGGAGAGATGGCTCAGAGGTTAAGAGCACAGTCTGCTCTTCCAGAGGTCCTGAGTTCAATTCCCAGCAATCACATGGTGGCTCACAACCATCAGTTATGAGATCTGGTGCCTTCTTCTGGTGTGCAGATATACATAGAAGCAAAATGTTATATACATAATAAATAAATAAAAATATAAAAAAAAACATCAGCATCATGTTGGGGACACCACCTTGATGACTTTATCTAATGACAATTGGCTCTCAAACATCTTACCTCCAAATGTCATTCACATTTGAATTTGGGATTACTTTTTCTGCCCATGAATTTTTCAAGGAGGATATATTTGAGCCACAGTCAGAGAGCACCTAGAAGAAAAGGTATGGCCACTGTCTTTTCCTGTAGTGCTTTTGTTTTGAAATAGGACTCTGGTGGGAAGGAGTCTAATAGGTGTGCACACAGTTAATAGGTACACACTCAGAGTCTGATAGGTGTGCACACAGAGTTAATAGGTACACATTCAGAGTCTGATAGGTGTGCACAACAGTGATTAATAGGTTTACACACAGAGTCTAACAGGTACACACACAGAGATTAATAGATACACATACAGAGTCTAATTAGTATACACACAGAGTCTAACAGGTACACACTCAGAGTCTAATAGGTATATACAGAGTCTAGAGTCTAATAGGTATACACATAGAGTCTAAAAGGCATATACATAGAGTCTAATAGGTACACACACAGACATGCATACAAACTCTTTTAGAGCTAATGATTCCATTCAACATAGCTTGAGAGCCCTTCTTCCTGAATTGTAGGTCCCTGGGGCTTGAACGGTCCAAAGGAGGCTGTGATTTGTGTGGCCATTCTCTAATGTTCCAGGGCCTGGCCAGTTGGATGCAAACTGCAGCACTTGTGTGTCTCTACCTAAGTCAAGGTCCAGTACATCCTTGGCAACAAGGACAAGCCAAAGATTTTGTTTTTCTTTTTTTTTTTCTAGTCTGAAGTGAGATAGGGCTAGCTAGGAGCTTTCCAGTTCTTTTTGCTTGTTTAGGTGGTAGCTGGTGAAGAGAGTGCCTCTTGTCTGTGACCATCTGGGAAGCTGGAAGAATGCTAATCAATGTCACATGCAGTAGCCCTCATGTTCTGACAGCAGGGCCTTCCCTCTGACCTCTCTGTGGAGCAGAGGCCTGGCCTCTGTCCAGTTGCTTGCTGCACTCTGTTGTAGGTGTCTGATGGAGGTAGGTTGTCTCTGTTCTTCTTCATGTTGGTAGGCCTCTCATGAGAACCTGTTGATAAGAGGATGGAAACCACAGCTTGCCTGGTCTGTAGTCCCCAGGGAGTGATGCTACTGTGCAGAGGCCACACGGGTCCTTAGTTTGGGGCCTAGAAGAGATCTGAGTCCCAGTCTTGCTTGGCTGGAGGGTGTGGGGCTTTCAGGAGTTTGCCACAGACAGCTTTGCAGAGCAATCTGTGGTGCAGTAGGGAAGAGGTCATGCATTTCTAACTGAACTTGTGTCTAGATAGTTATGGGCAATAAAAAAGCGGGAGAATTCCTATAAGAAATATGAGTGAGGTGTACATTCTGTTCAGGCTATAAGATAGATGCTATTTAATGTCCAATCCTCAAGCACATGGTACTTCCTCCGTGCTATCTCTAAGCCACACATCAGCTTTCACAGTTGGGGGAAGGAGACCGGGATGATTAAACAATGAGCCCAATATCTTGCACACAACTAACAGGTCTGGGATTCAGTCCAGGTTACTAGGTTGCAGGGCCTGCCCTTAGCTACTATCTAGAAGTATAGATAAAATATATAATAAAAAGTAGATTATGTCACTTTCCTCCTGAGCTTTTGGGCCAGGGATGTGTGTCACACAGTCCAAGCAGGGAGCTGGGTAGGTGAAGGCCTCACACTGGCCTGTGAGGCCCCCTCAGCTGTCGGCATTCCTCCAGCACAGCTTCGTTTCCATGGAGCTGCCTGTCTGGTGGGGACCTTTGTTTGTACCAAGCAAAGAGCCCCTCTCTTGTATTGGTTGCAGAGCATAATGTTCCCCTCTTCTTCTTTCTTTTCCTCTTCGGTGCACATGGTGAGAGGCAGGGAGAAGCTTCTGTGTCATACTATGGCTCTTGCAGTCTATCCAATAGGTCATTGTGGGCTATTCTGGAAGGGCACTATCGTGCCATCTTTCTTTTGATCCTGGGTTAGGGTTGATCCCTAAGTAGCCTGGGATGCCTTTCTGCCATAAAAATCTGCCTTTCACCCATAAAATCATCCAAACTTCTATAACTTTCTGGTTTTAGCATCCACCTGTCTCCATTAGTAATGAGCCCTGGTTTGTTCACTCTACATGTAAAGCCTTTGTCCTAAGGGTACCCTCTCATGTGCATCCCAGTGACCCCACTAGTTCTTGGTGCTGGATCTGGGGAATATGGTTCTGTCACACATTGCCTCCTTTTAAGACACAGATCTTCCGGGTATTGTGATGTTTGCTTTAATCCCAGCAGGAACAGGCAGTTCTTTGAGAGTTTCAGAGCAGTGTGGTTTACATAGAGAGTCCTACAACAGTGTGGGACATGCAACTGGACAGAGGCCGGGCCCCTGCTCCACTGAGAGGTTGGAGGGAAGGACCTGCTTTTGAGACATGAGGGTTGCTGCATGTGGCATTGATTACTATTCTGTCAGCTCCCCAGGCTCTAGTCTCAAAAATTCAAAACAAAATAAATAAAAGACAACAAAAGACATAGTTCTTGGCCATATTACCTCCAGGCCTTGGTGTCTCTAGACTGGGGTCTCTTAGTCTGGGAAGTGATGTTATGGGGGTCCATGGGGACTTGGGGTGTGTGTGTGTGTGTGTGTGTGTGTGTGTGTGTGTGTGTGTGTGTCAGGGCAATGCAGCACATTTTAGGAGGTTTAGCAGTATCTCTGGCCTGTCCTCAGTAGATATTAGTTCTCCTACCCACAAGTGCCATAAACGAAAATTTTTCCTGAAATCACCAAATGATTCTTGAGGACAAAAACATTCTCAGTGTCCAACATTGTTTTGGACAAGACAGGGACCATCCTGTGTACATCTTATTTCTTTTCTTTTTCAAAAAATTATGTTTTTTAATTTCTCTGTGCATTAGTGTTTTGCCTGCATGCATGTCTGTGTGAGGGTGTTGCATCCTCTGGAACTGGAGTTATAGATAGCTTGGAACTGCTACATGGGTACTGGGTATTGAATCCAGGTCCTTTGGAAGAGCAGCCAGCATTCTTAACTACTGAACCACCCCACCAGCCCCTACATCTTATATATTGACCCTTTCCACATCCTTTTTGTGTGTCAGTAGAGTATGGAGCCTTCCTGGTTGGGATAAATCCAGTTTGTATAATCACAGCTTGATAATAAATATAGACAAATTCTTACTCTCTTAATTTTTTCACATAAATGAAAAAATTTATTAAAATAAAAAAATTTTCATAAATGAAAATTTATGAAAATAAGGTCCCATTTCATATATGAAGAACATATATAAAGAGCAGAAACAAATTTCTATGTCTGGTCCACAAGTCACTGACTTATAGGATCACCTGTCTTGTATGCCAGCCCTGTCTGTTCAACTCTCTGGCCCTGCGGACTCAGAAATCTGCTCTTATGCTTTGAGAGTCTGTTCATTATTTCTTTCTTTTAAACAGTGTTTTTATAGTTGTGTAGCTCAGAATGAAGAGACAGTGTTAGGTTTCACAATGCTGTGTATACTCGACCAGTTTCTTCCTCACTGGCTCTCCTGATGCTCCTGCTCACAGGTGACTATTCGCTTGATTATCCTTCCAATGTTTTTTAGAGCTACATAGTAGAATCCAAGTTTATAGCAAGCTCCTTCACATGATCTGAACAGTCCAGAGTGGGAGAACCAGTGGCCCATGTAGAGCAGCTTTCAGGTTAACATGGAAGGTGCGGAAGCAGAAAGTCTTTCTCACTGTGGCTGCAAAAGAGAACGCATGGTGAAGTCCAGTGTTTGGGTTCATACCATGTTGAGATTTGGAGATGCTTTTCTCATCCATACCTGGGCCTGGGCCTTGGCCTGGCTCATAACTAAAAGGAAAGGGAAAAGTGAATCCAAATACATACAAACCATCTAGTTTGGAAAAGACAGAGTTCTGCTTTGGAAGGTACCCAGTGGCAGATGACCCAGATGAATAGCTTGGGTCAGGATCAACTCTAATTCTTACTCCTGTGGTTTCCCAGGGCTGATGGCAGGGTAAATCTTGTGGTTAGTATACTGGGCTGGCTGAGGCATGGGGGTTTCAGGAAAAATGTGCTGGTTCTATAATTATAGGACTTAATTCTAGTGATGACAAATTGGATCAACCATATATGGGTTCCTTATTTTTTCCAGGCTTGCTGTATCTGGATTTGGCTGTTGGGCTCAGTGAGCATCTTCATTCTGTATACTTGAACTCTTAAGTCAAGACTCAATGCCTTGATGCTCTGACTAAGTCCATCTTGGCTTTCTTTGCTGCAGGTCTGGATCCCGCAGGACCCATGTTTGAAGGGGCAGACATCAGCAGGAGGCTCTCTCCTGATGACGCAGACTTTGTGGATGTCCTGCACACCTACACACTCTCCTTTGGCTTGAGCATTGGGATTCGGATGCCTGTGGGTCACATTGACATCTATCCTAATGGTGGTGACTTCCAGCCAGGCTGTGGATTTAATGATGTCTTGGGATCTATTGCATATGGAAGTGAGTTTGTACTTAACATGCCTTGTGTTTGATTCATTCCATCTGTTTTCTAAGTCAGCCAGAGCTGTTAGTACAGCTAACTCATCATTCTTACCTCTCCCACAGTGCTGAGTCACGCTACTTTCCTGTTAACATTCACCTGCTTGCTCATGCTTCCAAGTCACAGTTGTCACTGATTGATTTTCTTTTTTCTTGAGACAGGATCTCACTAATGTAGCCCTGGCTGGCCTGGACTTGACATATAGACCAGGCTGGACTTGAACTTACAGAGATCTGCCTCCCAATGCCTCCTGAGTGCTGGGATTAAAGACAAGTGCTACCATGGCTCAGCATTCATTTCTGGTGTTTCTACCCAGATAAATGTTAGGACTTAGTGACTCTACCACACGGCTGCTCTTTAACACTCTACCTTTCTCTTCTCTTCTCTTCTCTTCTCTTCTCTTCTCTTCTCTTTCCTTTTTTTTTTAAGACAGGGTCTCTCTATGTGGTCTCTGCTGTACTGGAGCTTGCTATGTAGACTAGGCTGGCCTCGAACTCACAGACATCCTCCTATCTCTGCCTGGGAGTGCTGGGAATAAAGGTGAGCACCACCACTCCTGGCCTTCTATTTTACTCTTAGTGTGTGAACTTTCTTCTCCTCATTTCTCTGAGTATTTTAGTGTTGCTGTCCCTCACAGAGCAGACAGATGTGTGGAATGGTCTTAATTCCTCTATATGTTAAATAGGAACTCCATAATACCACTGAACCTATCTAGGTTAATAATCACACACCATCGGCTCAATAAGCCCATCCCTGATGAGGTGTATAACGACTATGGACTGAGCAGTGGAATCTTCCAGGAGTGGTTCATCCCATGTGTTTTCTGTCCCCCTGTCTCCTCAGCAATCACAGAAGTGGTGAAATGTGAGCATGAACGAGCCGTACACCTCTTTGTCGATTCTTTGGTGAATCAGGACAAGCCGAGCTTCGCCTTCCAGTGTACGGACTCCAACCGCTTCAAAAAGGGGATCTGTCTCAGCTGCCGGAAGAACCGTTGTAATAGCATTGGCTACAACACTAAGAAGATGAGGAAGAAGAGGAATAGCAAAATGTACTTAAAAACCCGGGCTGGCATGCCTTTCAGAGGTAACTTACCTTCATGTTCCTAGGTGCCCCTTAATCTTTTTCTTCCTTTATATTTTCTTGTAGAACAGGGTATGTAGCATCCCAGGAGTTGTGGTCTATGTAGCAAGTTATTAAAAACCAGATCACATTGTGCATGCCTAGTAAAATGGCTCCTTTAGAAATACTGGCTAAGGACCCCTTTGTGATGTAAATACCTCCCCATAATTATCAGTATCAATATCTCAAAGTTCTACGCTCATGTTCAATAGATGGGAAGCAAAGTACGTGGAAGACTGAAGCAATAGTTTTTACTTCCATAACCTGTTTATGATACTTTGTGAAACAGTATTTTATATGTGAAAGCCTTGAGACCCAGAGAGGTTTATATCTTAGTTCTTAATCCAGTGTTACACAATAGAAAATAAATAACTCCAAGTCTCCAAACATCTGACTCCCCAAGGTCAGGGCACTTTTTCATTGACTTCTTATGCTACCAGGCAGAACAAGACCAGAGCCTGGCTAAGGCTAGAGAGGGCCAACAGGATGCTTGTTTTATTTTTTTAAATATTTATTTATTATGTATGTATACAGTGTTCTAGCTGTATGTTTGATTGCATGCCAGAAGAGGGAATCAGGTCTCATTACAGATGGTTATTAGCCATCACATGCTTGCTGGGAATTGAACTCAGGACAGCAGTCAGTGCTCTTAACTTCTGAGCCATCTTTCCAGCCCAGGAATGCTTGTTTTTTAAAATTCAGGGTGCTATGTGACTCTTGAGATGACAAGCAGTTCTCATGAAGGTCTTTGTTCTATTGTCCACCAGTTTACCATTATCAGATGAAAGTCCACATCTTCAGCTACAAGAACAGTGGAGACATCCAGCCCACCTTCTACATCACCCTGTATGGCAGCAATGCAGACTCCCAGAATATGCCTTTGGAAGTGTAAGTGTGAACATTCTTTGTAACCTTGGTTCAGGGTGGAGAACTAGTTAGTCTGAGAGTGAGAGTGCAAGGAAGGTGTTGGAAGAAGTACAGGAGAATCAAGTCCATTTGCCCAGGGGAGGAGCGGTATGGTTCTAGCTGGCATCTATATCTGCTCTTTCCTCTCTTCTACTGTGTGTTCTCCTTCAAGTGATTGACTCAGAGGGTTTCAGGGAGGGAAGCGCCCAAGATGAATCAGCTGCATGAGAAATTGCTGGATCAGCCCCGCAGAAACTGCTGTTTCATCTCAGGCCACGCCTGACACCTGAGGCCTTAGGGGCCTGGGAACTCTGTGAACGTCATCCCTGGACCTTCTGTAGTGATCATCTGTGGGAGGGGTGCATGGAGGTCTGGAGAGATTTGTTGAGTTCCCACCAGGCACAGAGCATCCTGCCAAATGATGCTGTCATTGTGAAGAAATATCACAGCCAGGGGTGGCGGTGCAGCCTGGATCCCAGCACTTGGGGAGGCTGTGGCAGGGGAATTGTGAGTTCTGTGCCAGCCTGTGAAATACAGTGAGATCTGGTCAACAAACAAGTGATAAGGAATAAAAAAGGCAGGGAAGGAAAAAGAAGAAGGCCGCTACAGTCATACTTGTATGGGCTCAAGGTCTTGCTGGAAGACAAGGCATGGACATCCACAATTGCTAGTGTGATGCAGCAAGGCAGTCTGTGTGCAGTGGGAGAGGAGGAAGGGAGAAAGGGAAACTCCTGCCTCTGGGCTGAGGAACAGCAAGCATGCTTGTTGGGAAGGCAAATTTATGTTTTCTCTTTTCTGCTCTTCCTTGGCACTGTCTCTTAGGAATTAGTGTCACAAAGGGATAGCTGCTCAGGAATGGTTTGAAGAAGTTAGGCGCTTTGGGCAAATTTATCTGTCAGCATAGAGTGCAACTCAGCTTCCTGTGTGGTCCTGTGAAGTGGGGACATGGAGGGCATGAGGTGGGCACATTGTGCCAGTTTCCCAAGGGGGATGGGGAGGAGACGAGCTTGTCTCTCACCTTGCAGAGTGGACAAGATCGGGCTGAATGCCACCAACACCTTCCTGGTCTACACTGAGGAGGACTTGGGTGATCTCTTGAAGCTCAGACTTACCTGGGAGGGGATATCTAATTCCTGGTACAACCTGTGGAATGAGTTCCGAAGCTACCTGTCTCAACCCAGCAACCCCTCAAGGGAGCTGCACGTGCGAAGAATTCGTGTCAAGTCTGGAGAAACTCAGCGCAAGTAAGTGTTCCTGAACTTCTTGGTCTTTGTGAGGGGAGAACACAAGGTTCTTCTTTGTTTCCTCCTTTGTATGAGTAACATCCAGAGGCCTCTGCCACCAGCTAAACTTCAACTATTTTTTTGCAAGGACTGTTACACCCAGATAAGAGTTTCTGGAAACGGTGGTATGTACATCTTATGTCTTGACCACAGTCCTCAGGAGGAGGGGTGGAGAGGGGCTGCCTGGAGTTTGGTGCTTTTGCTGTTTGCTAAGTCTTGTGCCAGCCCAGAAGAAGAGGTCTTCCCCTGGACAGGGCTCTCGGAGAGTGCTGCGTTGAGGGGCAAATTGGAGCATCTGGGCACACAGTGAAGTCTTCCACAAGACCTACTCTTCCAGAACCCACTTCTTAGAGCATTGTTGAGTCTCCTCTGAGCCGAGCTGTTCACTTGGGGTTGTAACTGCCACCAGCAAAGAGCTCTCTACACTTTGCCAGCTGGCAGCCTCTCATTTCTTTGAACCCCAAAATGGGAGTTCCAGACCTGTATATATCAACTCTTGTTACTGTGCTCTAACTCTGCCAAGGAGGGCTCAAAGCCAGTGAGGCTCTGGAGACTCCCTTGGCAGAGGGGTGTATTCTTCATCGACCTCTGCAGGGGCCACCATCAGCCTTGGACTGAAGGAAGCTGCCTGCGTCCTTTTAATCTTTCCTCTGACATTGTCTCTTCTATAATTCTTCCTGTGTCTTGTTTGTGTCTATTGTTCTTGGCCAGGCTTTCAGGAGAAAGAGTGAATTGGCACTTTGAATCCTTCTCTAGAGTATCTAGTCTAGAAACCTGTGACTTGGGGAGTTTTTGAGTGAGGAGCTGTTTGAACCTAGGCTATGATCTCCATAATTGTACATGATTTCCTCCCCTTCTCTCTTAAATGCAGCCTGAGCTGGAAGGTGTGATAGCAGAAACACAATCACTATTATAAAATATTTCAGATGTAGTAAACACTCATTAAATCACCATTGAAGCTTAACAAATATAAGCAATTTCCCAGTTTGTGTTCAGATAGAAGATTTTGAAAGTCGAACGTCGTAGAAACATTTGGAGTCAATTCTGTGCCCTTCCTCTGCCCACAGCTTCCCTTCTTCCAAACCAGATAGAATGAAAATTTTGCATTAATTAACTAATTGTAATGTGCTCCCTTCCTTTATGTTTTTGTGCCCATTGGTACCTTTGTTTATACCCATTATCAGTATGTAGGATTGTTTTAGATGTAGCTAGATTTCCCATGATTGCGCACACTGTATTATGAGTTGGCTTTTAAACATTTACCTGTCTGTATCCGATAACTTTAGATGTAGTCTATTGATAGTTAACTCTCCAAAGTGGTTGGACTAGTTTTCAATATTGGCCCTAGCATCCTAGCTTCCCTCTTTTGCTTCCTCTCCCACAGTGGGACACTGCTACCATTCAGGTGGCAGCAGCTCTTCTGGTCTTGAATTCATTTGTATTTTCTGATTGTGAGTGAGGTAAGCTATATTTTTGTAGGGTTATAAAAATGTAGGTCCATAGGTGTTTAAACTCCCCTGGAAAGGTCCATATTATGACTTTTTTCCTGTCTCAGCATCAGGGTGAAGTGTCCTACACAGTGGTGGTTATCAGTGTGACAATCACATCACCAAGACTGTGTGGTACAGTCACAGCTATTGTTTCTCACAAACTTTTGTGAAATGGTGATTATCAGGCCTTTGACTCTTCTTATGCCTTTGACTGTCCATGAATTGAACATTTTTTTAAAGATTTAATTTAAAAATTTAAAATTGCATGTGTGTGCGTGCGTGCTTGCGTGTGTGCACCTGAGTGCCCACAGAGTCTAGAAGAGAACATCTGATTCTCTGGAGCTGGAGTTACAGGTGTTTGTGAGCTGCTTGACCTGGGTGCTGAGAACAGACTTCTAGTCTTTGCAAATGAAGTTTGCGTTCTTAACTGTTGAGTCATTTCTCCAGTCCAAACCTTTGATTCTGACATGTAATTGAGTTCCAAGTACTCTTGTTAATGGATATTTCATAGCAGTGTCTTATAGGGACCTTATAGAGTCTGGTGGAGAGGCCGATTATTGATCCCAAAACCCCAAAATAGTTTCAAGAAGCATAGCCTATTATAAAGTAGAACAAAACTTTAATTTTAAAGTTCATGTTGTAAGCAATGATAAGTACCAAAGCAACACTCAGGTAAAGATACGCCTTTGTACTAAGGTCAGGTTCATGGGGACTTTGGCAGGGATGGGAGCTTCCAAGAGGTCATGGCCCAAATGGCAGGCAGCCTTTTGGGAAGATAGAGAAGAAAATCAGGAAAAATGTAATCAAGGCTGCATGAGATTGAATCATAAAGCAAGATACATGCTGCAGTCCTGCATTGGGAATAGGCAGCTGTGCATCAGGATGGGCAGTTCCTAAGGCTCTGGAGTGGATATACCATGCAGAAAGTTTCCTCTTTCCCTTCCCATTTATATTGAAACCAGAAAGCACTGTCTAGAGTTTTGGATACAACCATGGTTTCTTTTTCTCTTAGAATGACATTTTGTGCTCAAGACCCTAAGAAGACTAGCATCTCTCCTGGCCAAGAGCTGTGGTTTCACAAGTGCCGGGATGGGTGGAGAATGAAAAATGAAACCAGGTAACTTGCAAATGGCCACTGATGGGGAATCCCTCATATACTGATGGAGGGCGGGAGAGAAACACTTAAGTGAAAATATTAGGCCTCAGGGAATGTGACTGTCCCTCTGTCCTTGCTCTGTCTTATCTTCTAGGTGTTCACTGTACATTTACATAAAACCCCAGCACTGGTGTCCCTTTCCCTTCATCTTAGGCTGGTGTTTCCTCCATAGTGAGCAGGGCTGGGGAGATGTCTAGTTTCCTAGTTTTCTTCTTCTACCAAGCTGCAGTAGGCAGTAGGGTGGGAGGCAAGATCAGTAGATTTTATTAGACTTTCTGGAAACCTGGTTGGTATGAGTGGATGTTAGTGGGCCCGATTCTCTCCACTTTGAGATACAGGATTGCTTGTGTGTAGAGCCAAATGGGACGACAGAGAGGCTGGCTGTTCTGTGTGTATCACATTGCTTGGTGTGGAAACACATGGTTTCAGGTGCAGGAAGGCCCATGTCATGATATGTGGTAGTGGGATCCCTGGTGGAGCCTATCTTATGCCATCTAAGCCAAAATACCTTCTAAGGATGAGGGTGACTATCTCTATAGATACTCTCTCCTCCTGCCCTTTGCCTTCAGCAGAGGACTGGGTGGCAATCCTGCTATGGAATGCTGGGTGTTTAGCACGTGCCCACCTGCATCCAGTGACTTACAGAGTCATCTAATTTTATGGACTGTCTCAGGAGGCAGGTGTCACTGTCACTGTGGACATAGAGAAACCTGAGGCCTGGAAAAATGAAGTCTCTCTTCCAAGAGAGGTTAAAGCCTGCTCATTTCAGTAGAGGAGTTGCACCTGCTCAGATGGGGCACCGAGTCTTGGTTTAGGTACTAATTATCAAGCAAGCCAATTGCAGGGATCCCCTGTGATTAACCATCTGCCAACCCAGCGGGCCTGACTGCACCCCCCAGCTGATCTGGCTTCTGCTAAGGAGCATCGTTGCACCCCAAGCTTAGTAATCACAGACTTGTGGGGTCTGAAGACTGCCCCCCCCCCATTAAAAGATGCAGTCTAGGGCAGGCAGGCTCATTTGATCTTCCTCTATCATTATTTTAATTTTTTGTTTGCATTTAAATTTACCTCCTTCAAAGTGTTCCTATATATGTTAATTTCATTGATAGACTGTATACTCTGGAAGGACTTATATGAGGGATGAAGTACTTCTTTTTCTGTTCTAACTAGAACAGAATGCTCTAACTAATATAACTTGGATCACACTCTTTCTTTTTGGGAAATGAGTCAGCCCTTTATTTCCTCTCTAAGGCACAGAAAACAATAGGGGGGTAAGCAAAAAAGGGACACTAGGAAGTCAAGGCATCCTTAGCCCCTTGTAGTGCCATGAGATTTCTCTCTTCTGACATGAACTTGTTCACCAACAAGGAGTCTAAAGTTCAGAGAACTCCTGTAGTTGAGACTAGGACTCAGGTCTCTTGATTCAACCTGTTCCCTTCCTGCCATGGGAGAGTCTTGTATGTTTCTAGACAAACGCAAAGATGTTTGATAGTCCTTCTCACACTTGTGTATGTGTTGGGCAGAGCACATGAATGCAATGACTGTGACAAGTCAACCTAGCAGCCCAGACAGGCTCCCATGGGTGTTTCTCACAGGGGATATTTTCATTGTTCCTAGATGCTAATAAGTAAAATGGCCTGCCTGTGTGCAGAACACTCAGTCTTGGTTCACATCTTGATAGATACACCTTGGTACAGTTTTGCCCATTTGCTGGTTGAGTGAGCTAACACTATATTCACATGGTTCCTTCCAGTCCTTTTGTGGAGCTGTCCTGAGGGCCCCAGAAGTCCTGAAGCCTGCATCCACTCCTACCCCACTGTCCATGCACATGGAGGAAAGTTACTGCTGAAGATGCACTTGACACAAGACCTCAGCCTTGGAGTCCTGGGAGGCGCTTACTCATTGGGCTCAGCTTGTTTCCCCTGACAACCGTGACTTACTTCTCCCAGAGAGGCCTGTGCCCTGCTGAAGTCCTAGTGATGACCCTAACTCCAAACTTCTATTGATTCCTCAGGAAGCTGTGTGTGAGCACTGGAGTGTCCAAAGCCCTGGTGCACTCTGGGCTTTGTTTGGTGAGCCCTGGCTTTGTTTAACCACAGGGAACACTGGCTCTGAAGAGGCTCTGTGTGGAAGGTTGGCAGCTGCTTGCCCTCACTAAACCGTAGTGACAAGTTCTTCAAGAGCTGACTCCTACCCCAGTGACAGACCTGTTATCTAGAGAGGGGACAATAGATCAGGCTGGTGCTAATGTCCCCCTATATTCCTCTGTGAGACTGATGGATCCTGGTTCTAATTGGGTATCCCAACATGCTCCCCAGCTCACCTTCTGAAGCTCACACTGTTGGCATTCTTCTTTTTATATCATTCATACTCCGATTGAGCAAATGGTTATTGGGCACTTCAACTAATTAGCACAGGGCAGTAGACACATGACTCAACCTTTGCATTTGGAGCAAATGGGATCAGGATCTCTGGAATCCCTCAGGCTCACTGGCTCACGGGTTATGCATGTGGTTAAAGACAGACAAGGCCTCGGGGAGAGCTACAGGTTAAAAGAGCTGGGGCTCTGAGGCCTTTTATTTCCTTTAAGGGCCATGCTTGATCACTATCAGAGCAGCAAGCAGAAAATCACACATAGTGGCCACAGTGGTGGTGCAAAGTCTCTGCTGTTTAGGGAGCTAGACAGTATTGCGTGTGTTCCACATACCTGCCATGCAGAAACCGGCTGCCGTGGACAGAGCTGGTGTTGAGCTTTGACACAGTGCTATTTCTTCTATGAAATAGCTTGCTTTCATATCAGTGCCATCTCTGTGTTAAGCTCCTGGGAGAGACCTTTTCTAGATCTCAATGTGAACTAATAAATGTGATACCCGAGACACCCTTCCATAGTTTCTAAACAGCTTGCATGTGTGTCAAGAGTTCAGGGCAGCTGTTATTCTTGTTTTGTGAAATTAAGGCTTAGAGAAACTGAGCCACCTGCTTAG